CCCGTAGTGTATTTTGTAGGACGTGGACGGTACAGGGAAGGAAGCGATCACTGGCGATGTCCAGGTTCTCGCAGCCCGGGGGACAGTGGTACGATTTACTCAGAGGAGGAAGCAGATAGGAGGAGGCCTCAGACAATGAAGCGTTTTTAGGTCTGTGTGAAATGTGAAGCTAGGGGAGAAGCCGGGGCTGGGATGTACTTTGAGAAGGGGAGGAGCACGTGGACGGGATCTGGCATCTTGTATACGATTCAGTGTCAGGACCGTGTGGTTGGAGGAGGAGGAGGCTCACACAGAGCCCGGAGCGCTCGAGCAGATGGGGGTGGCGTGCAGGACGGACGGCAGAGGCCGAGGCAGGGTCAGGTCTGATGCTGCTGAGGGCGAGACGCAGAGAATGGCGGAAGGCGTTAGTGACCTTAGCGGGAGCGCTTTGAGAAAAGCAATGGAGGCAGAAGCCCAGGTAGAGTGGGTAGAGGAGGAGATACAGTTCTTTGGAAAGTTTTCTTGTGGAAGGGTGTCGAGAAACGGAATGGTGGCCAGAGGGAATGTGGGGCCAAAGAAGGGTTCGCGGGGTGCTTCTGCAGCGTCAGGAATAACCCCGTAGACACGGAGGAATTGATGCTGAAGAGGAGAGGCGGGTAACAGGTCCCTGAGAGGCTGGCCGAGGACAGGATCCGGAGCCCATCAGAGGACTTGGTTCGGTGGGGAATGCTCTCTCGAGGTAGGAAGAGAGGCAGCCGTTTGGGGGTCGGAGGGTTTCTGGGTCTCCTCTCTTGGCTTCTCAGGGAAGCAGAGAGGGAGCTGACCTGCTGAAGGAAGGGGGTCTGTGGGGAGAGAGCAGGAGGCGGGGATGACTGGTCCCGGCGAGTCGAAGATCCAAACTGGCAAGGAATGCGGTAACGTCGCTGTTCTGTGCTCAGCGCCCGCTAGAAATTTGTTGCCGTCCGTTTAAGGTGAGATCTGTTAACTTCCTTGTGCGTCGCTTCCCAGCAAGCGAATCGACCCTGTTTGTCCTGTGTGTGACATGAGGATGACAGCAACAGCACCCACCCCTCACAGCCATCGGGAGCAGTAAAAGAGTTAGCGGAACGTGTACGAACCAGCGCCTGTTCTGTATTCGGTGAACACCGGTGGCGGGTATGAGCTGGGTCGAGCGTGGCAGAGGAGGCTGGTGTGGCTGGGAAAGGCGGGTGTCTCGAGAGCGTCTGCAGGGGCATCCGTGCGGCGACACACTCGAATGGAAAGCAGACAAGGAGGTGGATCGTAAATGTGTTTTTGATGAAGCAGGATAATTGTCGTGGTGGAAAGAGAGCAAGTTACCTGGCCAGGTGGGAGACGGTGGCCAGAGATGGTGCGGTGACAGGAGCATCTGCGGGGAGCGAGGCAGTGAGTCAGTCTCCCGAATCAGGGAGGGTGACAGAAAGGTGGGGGGCCGGTATGGTGGCAAGAAGTACGGCTGGGGCTCCTGGCTGGCTCAGTAGAGCATGGTGACCCTTGATCTCAGGGTTGTGAGTTCGAGCTCCACATTGGGCGTTGAGATCACTTAAAGATAAAATCTTAAGGTGCACCTGGGTGGCTCAGTCGGTTGAGTGTGTGAGTCTCGATTTTGGCTCAGGTCGTGATCCCAGGGTCATGGGATTGAGCCCCAAGTCAGGCTCCGTGCTGAGCTTGGAGCCTGCCTAAGACTGTCTGTCTGTCTGTCTGTCTGTCCTCTCTCTCCATCCCTCCCCTCTCCTCTGCTCACACGTGATCTCTCTCTCTCTCTCTCTAAAATAAAAGTAAAATCTTAAAAGAGAGCTTAAGGCAGTGCCTGGGTGGCACAGTTGGTTAAGCATCTGACTCTTGATTTCGGCTCAGGTCACGATCTAGTGGTTCATGGGATGGAGCCTGGAGTCAAGCTCTGAGCTGACAGCATGGGACCTGCTTGGGATTCTGTCTCTCTGTCTCTCTTCCTCTCTCTCTCTCTCTCTCTCTCATACACAAAATAAATAAATATATATTTTTTAAATGCAGAGAAGCTGGAGTTTGGGGAAGCGAAAAGATTTGGAAATGGCTACCGTGAGCAAGGTTGACACTCACCCCACCCCCTCCTGTCCCTGAGGTGTGCCCTGGGGAGGAGAACGAGAGAAAGTGGACGGCCACCTTGAAGATGGGGACTGAGAGAAAGTGGTGACGGCCGCCTCGAAGATGGGGGCCCAGTCCCGGGGATGGCTTGGTCGCTCACCTAACAGGCAGAGGCCGCCCCTGTTGGCGATCTCTGTGCGACATACAGGGCGCTCCAGGCCCGGTTCTTGCGGGTGTTGTCTCGGGGGCCGGGTGGGCATGGTGGGCCGTCCCGAAAGAGCTCAGGAGCAGGGGTCGTTAGAAGAGCTTCTGGAAGCGTGGCAGGTTGAGAATTTATTGCACCATTCGTTTAAGAAAAACGGGAATGGTAAAAGAGAAAAGGCATCATTAGCCACCACTCTACAAAATTCAGCCTTTAAATTATCCCTTCTTCTTTCGGCCTGTACAGTACGGAGGCTTTTTATGTGGTTGTGTTCCTACTGTAGATGGTTTTGTACGCTGCTTTTTTGTTTCGTTAACAGTCGTCTCCTAAGTGATTTCCGTGGTGCATCGGTCTCCATAGTTACCGTATTTAATGGTGTATGAGACTACACCGAGTGCCCGCGACTGATGATTTTCATACCTATTCCCCTGCTTTGGGCATTTGGGTTGTTTCCAGGATTTTTGTATCCTAAATTATTCAGTGAACGTCTTCATGTGCTTTGACGGAGATTCTCTTCCTAAGAGAAATTGGATGAGTAGGAAATACTCTAGGTCAAAAGTATCAATATTTGTTCTACATCTTGTAGATAGATACCCACTCTGTTTTCAAAAGCTCTTCTGCTTTTTTTTTTTTAAAACTGCTGTTAGCCGTGTGAGTGTGCGAGTTGTATCACAAGTGCACGCATCAGATGATTACACTTCACGTGTCTGCAAGTTTAGGATTTGGAAATGGATACAGTTAGTGTAGGTGGGGAAATGGGAGGAGGTCACTTTTGAGTATTTCCATGCACTTGTTTCTTTTTTTTTTTTTTT